TAATTTGTTTCATTAATTTCAACAAAACTTCGTTCAATAAATCTATAATAAATAATTAAGGATCGATAAGTGGAAAACATTAATCTTTAAAGGAAAATCAAGAATTCCCTAGCAAGGTTCCGATACAAAATGTAAGCAATTAAACCCTAACACCAAGATCTTTAAAATTCATGATTTTCACATATGAATTTAATTGATCAAGATACATACCTTGATCCATGGCAATAGTTGATAATTTTAAATCTGCAAAAGAGAAACTGTTAAATTAAAGAAACTATTCTCTCACTTTTCCTCTCTATAAGTGAATGAATTAATTGATAAGTTTCACTCACGTTTATAGGCAGAGAGAGGTGGTTTCTTATGGGTCATAAAACTGTCTACTTTTCATCAAAGTGGACGGTTATTAAACTGCCACTTCTCAAATGGGCCGATTGGATTTAATAAATATAAACCACTTTAATTAATTATTTAATGATATTACATGGGCCACAATTAATTAATTTTACATCTGTTTCATCTTCCTCTAGTAGTACGTTCGAATCTTCAGAATCTGATTTGTTTGAAAAAATAAACGCATCTGATTAGCATGCAAATGGTCATTTACAAGACATGTCTTCTTTGATCCAACAACTGCCCATCAAGTAAGTTACTGCGATTCATTTAAGTAAAAGTTTACTTATAAGTATTTAAGTATGTTAACTGATCGGTGATTTTTGGCTTGCAGAAGAGGGCTTTCGGAGCATTGCAATGGCAAATCACAATCCTTTACTTCTTTATCAAACGTGAGGTGCTTAGAAGACCTTGCAAAACCTGAGAATCCGTATAATAAGAATAAGAAGCTCAAGTCGTGCAAAAGTGATGGAGGAATTTAGAGGGGTACTACTGATGTAGGCAGCCTCGGAAAAGCAAGATTGATTCAAGAATTATTCAAAAGAAGACATCAAGAGGGTCTTGTGGGAGGAAGAGTTCGAGGCCTCCTATACCCTCACCTCATAGATCAACTAGCTTTACAAATCAAGCCCCTTTGTTTGCTTAAAGGGTTTATCGCTTGGTGCTAGCTAGTAGCAAATCCAATCTTGTTTCATTCATCAATACAATTCTCTCTTCTTCAATTTCCATGAAGAAAAGAGATCTTTATTAGCTAGACGATCATTGCTTTTTGGTGTAGTGAGTTGTACAAGGAAGTAATTAAGAAAAAAATTAAACAAAAAAGGTCATAAATTTTCTTTTAATTTGGCAGAAAGGTTGTAGAACGAGTAATGTTATTTATCATTAGTATATTCTTGGTAGTGGATTCATTGATTCATTGTTAATTAAGTAGATATACATTAGTTTCAAGTCTTTTAACAATGGATAAAGGGACTAAGTGAGCGAGTTGAAAGTTTTTTGCAGCATGCTTTGATGCTAGGCAAACCATTATAATCACCAAATTAAACTCCTTATGGTTACTAAACAGTGGCTTTGGTGAGAGAGTGATCACTTATGCCAAAATAATGAGATAAGTAACTAAACATGACGAATTGGAGACGAAATTCAAGTGGAAATATAAATCACAAAATGTGATAAAATCATACACCACGAATACAAGAAATGGTCGCCCCAAACAAGGGCCAATATCCGTTAGAGCTCCATACTAAGTGAATATGACTCCAATGCACTAGAGAACTTCAATGTTAGATTACAACTCGTCAATCCGCAAAGAATCCTTCACAAAAGACAATGCAATAAGAAGCCACTTTTTGGTAGAAATTTTTTATAATATATTTTGTAATTTGTAAATTATATGGTTAAAAACTTTGGAGTTCACGTACAAAATAATTTTATTGAGATGTAGTTGAAAATAATTCTAGAAATGAGGTCAAAAATGATCTAAATCTTTCTCTATTGCAACTACTGATGGAATTAATCAATCTTCTAACCTCTTTACACACTCGCCTCTAATTATACACAAGATTTACACAAAATCCACCAAAGAAACACTGAGAGTACAACAAGGATCCTTGAGAGAATATTTAGTTGTTTGAGAGATGGAATTAGTGTTTTTGTTAACCCTCCAGTGCTCATCCAACGACAGGGATAAAAATTTTATTATAAGTCGCATCACGCTTTTTGGTCAAAGTCATCACTTGTGTCGCCCGTCAGCAATCTCCACTTTCATACGAGTGTCCTCAGCAACCAATTAAGCAGCCCCACTGCATCAGGCCGCATTACACATCAATGCTTCTCAGGTCCTTGGGCCTGCAAAAACAAAAAAATTAATGGTGTGTTTGATTTGCTGTTTTAAAGTCATTTTCAGATTTGTAAAATACTAAAAATTTGTTTGGTCTTGTATTTTTAAAAATGTAGTTCAAATCCAATAATAAATTTATAACATAAAATTCAAAACATATTTTTGACGTTTTAAGTGTTTTCATTGAAAATTCGGAAAATATTCAAAACATGTAAAATAAGTTTTTAAATAAACTTTATTCAAATAAAAGTTTAAATTTTTATTTTTAAAATTCTAGCAAATAAAATTATAAAAAAAAATAGAATTCAAAAAAGTAAATTGAAAAATAAAATTTTTGAAAAAATAAATTTTTTGAAAAAATAAAATCTAAAATTAAAATTCTAAAAAATTAAAATTAAAATTTGAAAAAATAAAATTATAAAAAATTTAGAAAAATAAAAATAGTTTTAGCTTATCCCCTATTTGGTAGAAATTAAAATTAAAATTTGAAAAAATAAAATTATAAAAAATTTAGAAAAATAAAAATAGTTTTAGCTTATCCCCTATTTGGTAGAAATTAAAATTAAAATTTTAATCTAAATCTAAATCAATAACTAATTTTCACTACATATTTTATCAGACTCACAACATTTTAACTATATATTTCATCAATTTCAATAAAAATTTACTAAAAATTTGATTTTAATGCTGACTAAACAAGGACTTAATGATTGTTTATATAAAAAATTTAAAATATATATATTTAAATGAATATAGACAAAAATATTTTAAGTCCGCGTCATTAATTTTTAATTTTATTTTTAATGCTTTGAAATTAATTAAATAATTTTTTATTTTAATTTTTTGGAGAAAAATATTATCAGAATCACCAACTTTGAATGTATATAATACTTGATAAATATATAAACATAAAAGTGTACTATTTTTACTGGATAATCAAGTTTAATGAAATAAAATGTCATAAAATAATTTTTCAAAATTTCAAACCAAATGTGTTTTTTTAATTTTCTATTTTAAGAAATAATTTTTCAAAATGATAAATCAAATAGAAATTTTAAAATAGACCCTCAAAACAAAAAAATAAAAAATGAATTTTCTCAAAATCGAAAATTGAGACACAAACAAAACGGCCCTGAAATAGTAGATGTTCAAACGATCTTCAATTAAATCTGAACTAAATATGACTCAGATGCACCACAGAACTTCAGACGGAAGTGAAGATGAATCAGATGCACTGTAGAACTTCAACACCAGATTACAACTTGCCAATTCACAAAAAATTCATAGAGATAAAAGTTGAAGGGGATGTGATTTAGAGTGAAAGCGAAAAATACGTTAATCATCAAAGAATACCATAAAATATTTGTTGATTCTATGCAAGAATATGAATATTTGATTTGATCAACAAATAATTTGATTAATATCAATATGGATTGAAAATTAGAAAAAGTCTCAATGATTAATATTTTTATTTCAATTAAAAAAACTCCATTAAATTTACAACCATTATTTATAACAGCTAAAAACCTAATTAACGACTAATCCGAATAAATAACTCACTCTAATAAATGATTAATCCCGATTAACCACTAACATCTAGATAATAACAAATATTAAAAAATTTAATAAAGAAAACACTAACTAAAAATAATAATTAAAAAATCAATTTTTCATAAGAATGTATAGTTGAAACAAATGTGACTCTGATGCACTAGAGAACGATTACAACTCAACTCGCCAATCCACTAAGAATTCTTTTACTACAACTAATGGAATCAATCAATTTTCTACCCTCTCAATCTACTTGCCTCTAATTGAGAGAAGAGGCAACTTTTTGAGAGAGGTTTTTTGTTAACCCTCAAATGAAGGATGGATCTTTTATATTTGCTCATCCAACGACGGGGATAAAATTTTGAGCACTATTGGTTGTCATCCAATTTGGTTAAATTCAAAGTCAAATTTTTTCTTCCATGTCTGTTGATTAAACTCAGAAAAAGGGAATCTTTTCTAGTTTAATCAAATAACTGGAGAATTATTTCTAATGAAATAAAGTTTCACATTGATGTACTTAGTAGCTTATGAAACATAGGATTCTTACATAAATATTTAGCATCATCTCTTTCTGAAAATAATGTTACATTTCCATCAAGATTCTATGAAATTTAAAAAGCCCATCAATAAATAATTAACAAAAAATAGGTTATGTAAAAATAGGTTTTACTTTTCACAAAGATTAAGAAATCGTATTTAGCCTCTGTTTGGTGGGGATTAAAATCAAATTTTTAGTAGATTTTGATAAAAACTGTTGAAATATGTGGTTGGAAAAGTTGTGGGTTCCAAAAATTGTCTTTAAAATTAGTTGTCAACTTTGACTTAAATTAAAATCTGAATTTTAATTTGTATCAAACAGGGGTTTAATGTTATTGAAAAAAACAAATTTTACAAAAAACTTTACTAGTTTACCTTTATTTATAATTGTACAATTTCAAGATTAGGTGAAAAAAAATAGTTATAATTAGACAAATTAAATAAGGTTATATTAGCAAACGAACAAAACCAAACATTTTCAATAAAAAAAGACTATATAATTGAGACAATAAAATAAGAAAAATCAACTTATATAAATAGGATGGAGGGAGTAATAATAAAACTGGACCACGAACCCCATAATATCTTGTAACTGCCTCAATCTTTAATTTATTCTTTTAGCAAATAATATAATATTAAAATGTCCAACATATATATTTTCTAATAGTTTGTGCCATTAAATATATAGCACTAAAAATCATACTAGATGTCGATAAGCATATCATGTGAGGGTAGACGATATTGTATTAGGAGCCGAAGTTGTTAAAGTGGGGCGGCCGACCAATCTAATATTATAATATTATGCGACCTAGTTTCTAAATGATTCTATATCAATCATTAATCATAAAACTATACAAACTAAATTAAATGCAAGAACATGGCCCAGTGGGCAAGATTATTTCGTGCCCAGGACATATATAAAGAGCATGTTTGGGAGTGATTTTGAGAATTTATTTTTTAATCGTTAAGAGAAAAATGATGTTCACCTGTGAAAGAAGAAGTCAAATATGACGACTGAAATAGTAAAATAACGATCAAAAAATCAATTTTGGAAAAGAAAAAATCACTCCCAAACAGACTCAAAGTATAAATTTAAAACTTTATAATATAAGGGGGACGTTCCAATTTTAAGAAAAAGCGCAATCAGCCATGAAACTTTTTTGGTGGACCGTGAAAGGTGCAGCAAGTTGAGCCGCCTAGGCACTTTAGGCTAGAATTGACAATTCAGCATTTCTTGTACACATCCGTCTTCAATTGTTTTGCTGTTTTACTAGCGTAGGGATTCCAACCGACCCCAACAGCAAGTGGGTCTCGCATAATTGACAATTCAACATTTCTTGTGCACATGCCTCTTCAATTGGAGAAGAGTTTTGCTTTTCTATTAGTGTAGGGGTTTCTACCGACCCTCACAGCAAGTGGGTCCCACATAATTGACAACTCAACATTTCTTGTACGTATCCCTCTTTAATTGAAGAATAGTTTTGCAAAAAAAAAAGGTTGAACCCCAACCTTAAGGGCCCCCACGGATCCTGTCCTGGGCCATCGTGGAGGAGGTAAATCTCAGGATGTGCCTCTCAGGAGCCAGGGTGGAGAGCACATGGATAGGCCAAGACTGTTAACCCATATGGTAACTCCCGCTTGCAACAAAGCCAATTCCACCTTGCGGGGAATCGAACTCTGCACACTGCCGCGCTGAGCCCTATCCGCCCTCCCCTTTGCCACTGGGAGATTACTAGGGTAGGGATTCCTACTGATCCTCACAACAGGTGAACTTTTATCTTGTACCTCAAGCACTTCTTATAAAAAATAAAAAATAAAAAAAAAGGTTGAACCCCAACCTTGAGGGCCACCACCGTCCCGTTTCTAGAGCTTTGTGAGAGAGGTAAATCGCGGGATGTGCCTCAGTAGGCTAGGGAACAAGAGTTGTCTGTACACTGTGCCTACAAGAAGTATAATTCTGTATCTCAAGAATTGAACCCCTACACTGCGACTGTCAGCAAGGCGTGAGATAACCTCACTCATGTCCTTTGATACTCTTATTGTCACAAGGACCAACTGAAAATAGTAAAATAAAAATATTAAAAGACTAAAATCTTTATATGATTTTTGTACATTTTATTTTTGCATGTTAGAGCTATATTCAAATTCAAATCACGAAACAATTATTTCTTTTTTTTTTT